CTGAACCCCTTCTGTATATGTTTATTATGAAAGCAATTACATTACTTCATATATACATAAACAAGATATAACTTTCAATGTCACTTAATTCTGCGAAAGAGATTATTGCTCCCTACCATGAAAAATATACAGAAAATTTAAAATTGCGCAAAAAAGCAACATTAACATTACGTGGAATTTGCCTTAACTTTAAAAATTTGACCTTTTCCTCTTTCGAACTAATTTTAAATTTGATTTCGATTCAAAATGTAAGAGAACATATTTATTATAGCTCGAAGAATTTATACACTATCTACCAAAAAGTATTTGGACCTGATATATGCCATGCAATCCGCCGTTAAATATGTACGAAACATCATTGGCATTAGTTGCATACAAGATGCCATGAAGTGCAGAGACTCATCTGATTCCGAAAATGGTGTAATTGTTGGGTATCACAGAAATTGTCAGTTTTTAAGGGGTATATCTAGCTAGCGATTTGCTCAAAATCGATAGTGACGTATGTGATTTAGAAGTGGAAGGTGAGCGGTGATTGTCGGAATTTGCCCCGAGTCGGCAGACCACAAAGCTGTGAGATAGAGACTGACGGATCTGCCCAGAGAAATTCGGAAGAAACGTACCTAGTCTGGTACGTTCTTCCGTCTGGTACGTTCTTCTGGAGTACCACATACTCCAGAAGTTTCAACAGGTAATCGGGAGTATGGTTTCGTTCATCCGTAAGAAAGCACATCTGCTTGGTTTTCCTGGTCGTGCCTTTAAACACAAAGTCTAACTTCCTGGAGAACACCTCCTTCTAGAATGCATTGTGCCCACAGTAAAGTTCGACGGAGGTGGAATTATGGTCTGAAGTGTTTCTCCTGGTTTGGACTAGGACTTTTGGGCTAAATTCATGTTAAGCTGAACACTGACGTCTGCTGCACTATTTTGGATGACAGTGTGCTTCCTATGTTCTGACAGTTTTATGAGACCCATGTTATTTTCAAGACGACAACACCAAATGTTATGCGGAGAGGTCCACCACAGTTTGCTATGATCACAATGCTGTTAACCGAATGGACTGGCCTGCCTAGATCCCAGATCTGAACCCTATCGAGAATCTTTGGGGCCAGTAGAATAGCCAATTTAAAAAGTGCAACAACCGTCCAACTTCGGTGAAGAACTTACAAGTCTTCTACAAGACAAGTAGAAGAAAATACCAAAAGCCATCATATAAGGACTTGTGGAAAGCATACCTGGAGGGTTGAGGCTGTAATTGCCGTTCGTGGAGGCTCTACCAGCTATAGAATATGAATAAATTTTCTTTCTTTTTCTCTTCCATCACAGGTGTCTAAATATTTATTTCAGATAGTGTAGTATATAAATGGAAAAGAAACATGAATTTGAAATTTAAATTTAAGCTTAGTTTTGGTTTGGTATATTTCATTATGGCAAAGCACACGAGAGATATCTGTCTAAGAAGGAGAGATTCCTTCATAGAGGACTTTCTGAGAGAAACTACCTTGAATATAATATTTTACACATGGGGAAAACGACAATAAAAACCCTCACACAGCCAATCTGTTTTCTTGGAATTGAAACCAGGTCGAACTACCAGTAATTAGCGACTTCACTGCTGGGGAACAGAAATTTAACCTTAGACTAATGTTGATTTTATGGGAAACAACTCTATTTTTTTAAATGGACCCCTCACAAAGGGATTGTATCATTTACTTTAATATGCGTTGTGCTTTTCAATGGAATCTACACGCCAGTCTATGTCATAATTTCGGTTAAATATAAATATGGGTATACATTACATTTAAATGTGTACGTAGAGAAGTATACACAAAAGCAATAAAAAATTTCTCTTCACTTCGCGGAAATAATTTAGACACAAAGTTAATTTTTTGCTTTTGCAAGCTTGAGCATTCAAAAATTTTCAATACCATTGCCGTCTCTGTGGATCCAATGTGACCAGGTAATGAATCCATTATTCATATCATTAACGACTAAAATGATCCTGTCCATTCGAGCATCGGGAATCGATATCTTTGAGTTTTATCCCGTTCTAATCTGGACTAGCTGATTTTTGCTCTTCTCAAATATTAAGATTCTTTATACATAAAACATCAAGAACCAAGATAGTGTCATCAGGGTAGTTCAGAAAAGCTGAACACCCCAAAGAAAACTGTATCTTGAATTTTAAGAAAAACGGATTTGTCTGAAAAAACACATCGATACTGGTAATGATTATATTCATGCTTCTTTCAAAAGCCAATATAAATATTAATTTATTGAACTTTATTTTTGGAAAGAACTTCAAGAACTTTGAAATGATATTTTTAACATTAAACTGCTTATCTCAATAAGTGATGTTTAACGACGACCTGTTACGCTAATAACGAGTTTTATATCGATATTTAATAGTTGCCTCAGTCTCTAAACTGAATTCTTTGGAATTTGTTTGTTTTTATTTTCGAAATTTGTTTGAATTAAGTGTTGAAAAAGCAAATTACATATTAATGTCAGTAATTGGAAATGTATCATTTTATACCACTTTTTTACATGCAATATATGATTCATTAGTTTAAATATATTTAGTTTTATCCTGAAATTATAAAACCTAGCTGAAGTAACAAAATTTCCGTTGAAGTTGGAATTCTCATTTTTTATTTCTAAGTACTTGTTTTTGTTGTTACATTGACAACACCCAGTTTCTACGATATCAATTTCGAAATAAAAACGAGTGCTAATAAAGACATTTTTATGCCGTTTTAAGATGTAATAAAATAGTCAGGAACGGAAGAATGTTTACTCTACTGGAAAATATTTTCACGGTACTGGTTAAAAATATATTCTTAAACAATAAAACTTGCTAAATGAAAAAAACAAAACCTACTAATATCAATAGAATTTCGAAGAAAGCACCCAAATATAAATATTCTCCTTGATTTCAGAATATCCACGGGTTTTTATTGTGTTAGTTACATCTCAGATTTTTCCAGCACTACAGTGGAACCTTTCTTAGCATTACTTGCGAAAAAAACTATTACTGTATATTTTATGCACACATTAAAGAAAAGAAATTACGTAGTTTGTAATATCGGTTGCAGCTATTTTATGCATATATCCTGCAGCTAAATTGCACAAAGTAAATGAGCAATACATGTCAGTATTTTGTTGTCACAAATATAAAGAAGTGAAATGGTATAAAAAGTAAAATTAGACGAACCTAAAAAAAATGGCTTAATCTCCAAATTCACCTTGCATGCTTGTCCAGACTAATGCTAAGTTCACAAGGATTGAATACCTGAGTGGTAGTTTTGCGTTCTTGGCTACGATCTTCCATATTCTTGATGCCCGCTCCATCATCTTTAATATTAAATCAGTCCGCATATTTCTGGAGAGAGGGAAGTTAGAAGCGAAAAGCAAAGGCTAACTAAACCTAAAATACGGCTAGTTGATTGAACTAAAGGAAAAGAAAACGTATACAATTAACAACCCAAGTAAACGTTCTTATTATCATCGCCTTATATCCACAGTTATCATATATCCACAGTTTTAAGCAAGTCTTATTGGGAGAGAGATCAAAGTCCATTTCTGTCCTTAGCCATTCTTTTTTTCCCTCTTCGTAATTTCAAAGAACGAAATTATCTATATGGGTCATGTAACATTTTGTAATAGTATAGATTATGTGCATTTTCTTCTTCCAAAATATTACTATATTACTACTTAAATTTCTATTCATACCAAGAGGTTTTGCAGTTGCCTATCATACAAGGAATTATTTGGGGATAAGTAAAGATTAGATCCGACTTTTTGACTTTTATTTCACGATGCAAAACAAATACTTACTATAGACTGCTAAGATACTACTTTGTAGAAGAAAAGTGATTTTATTATGTTTTTAAATGATAATGATAATTACTGACACATGCAAATGCTTGCTAGTAAAAGTGATCTCCTGCGACCGAGCAGTAAAATTGCTGAACACTGATAGTTCCGATCTCGGCTTCAGATGAATGGGCTGGCTGCATGAGCATTTTAGTGGTTTTTCCTATGTGTAACCTGTATATGACGTACTAGAAAAACATTTCTTAATTTTATCGAGTATGTTCAAACAAATGTGAGCGAATAATGGCAAATAGTGCTTGCTATCTATATCTTTATTCATTAAAATATCTTTGTTCTAAATATCTTTATATCTTTGTTCATATGTTTGTTATCATCTAAATATCTTTGTTCATTAATTTCTTTTAAGTTTGCTTATCTCTGAAATGATCTTTTGGCCCTTTCTGTAAAGTAAAATAAATACATACATACAAAAATCCACTCTAAATTAACTTTCTGCATAATATTCTTATGAATCCACTCTAAATTAACTTTTAGCAAAATATTTTTATGAAAATCGTAATGTGTAAAGAATTCTTTCAAAGGGATCTAACTTTTTGTAATCCTATGAATTACCTTTACGTGACTTCTGCAACAGTTAATTTAACTTGCACATGAAACTGTTACACATTTCGCTTTAATTAAGCATCTGAATAAGAAATTCTTTTTATAACCAACAATATTTCTCTCCCTTAAAACTTCCGTGTACTCTGAATAACATATAAATAATTTCATTTCAGAAACCGTCGCTTAAAACGACAAAAGAATCTTCTATTGCTCCGACAAAGCCTCTTTTCCCAACAAAAGTGTTTGGGAATAAAAATGAAAATGTAACCTCTCGTGATTTTAAAAGGAAAAAAGAAAATTTATTTTTTGCCAGCTAACGTTAGCATGAAATGATTGCCTTTTAATGTTGTTTCTCGCATAGCTAGAGTTTGTTTTAGACTAATTAAATGTAGAAAATAATCATCTTATTCATCGGCAGTGTTCAGGGAAACACCAATACTATTCACTTCAAGTAATACACATTGCAATTCTTCTAAAAGCAAAGATGTAAAGGAATTTTATGTAAGAAATTTTCAAAATTTTATCTCACATTTGTGGTAAATTAACGCTGAAATTTCACTCACTGATAAGGACGGGCCATTCGAATCTTCAAACCCCAAGAATCTCTTGAAACATTCAAAGCTTTTTTCCTCATTCTAATATCTGGAATAAGAAGATAAAAGCCCCTTACATGTTTTAGCTCAAAGCTTGAAAGATTAATTTCAATGACATTAATATAAGCATTCATTATAAAAGGAAAAGAAAAAGAAATCTGAAAGTGGTTTTAACCTAGCATCAGAGCTTTTTTTTTTTTTTTTTTTTTTTTTTTTTTTTTTTTTTTTTAATGTTTTCGTTCAGCTTACAGTTTATCTACCTGCTCTTAGACTCATTCCTCCTAACATTGTCTTTTTAACACCACTTTCTTCACAATTACTCCAAATAAAATCGAACATCAAAATCACAAAAAAATTTAGAAACACCATATTTTTAAAATCGCCGATACAGTTTTAAGTGCTGTCATATACCTTTTAGGGCTATTTTTCTCGAATCTCACTTTTGTTGGCTGTTTCATGCTACTATAGTTACTATAACAAAATGTCTACGATAGTTACTGTAACAATATATATATATATATATATACAATACAATAATTACAAAACAATTTTTTAAAAAACTCTTATTAACAAAATTTCTGCTTTTCACAAAAATGGAGAATTTCTCTTTTCACTACAAATAACATATTTGCCAATCTTTATGCCTTACCAAAATTTCATAAAAATCCTGTCAAATTTAAATTTATAGGCAATAGTACTAAAAAGTTCAAGAAGAATTTTTATAATATTTTTACCAATCTACTTAAAACTACTTGTAATATAGTTTTTGAACAAGTCAAAGCTGACAAAAAACTTCTGCTGGATTATTTACGACAACCTGAAAATCCTTGAAGAAGTTAGAAATCTTAAAATTTACAATATTAACTGCTATGACTTTTAAAACTTCTACACGTCACTACCACTCAAATAAATCTACGCAAGTCTTTTAGAAATGAGAGTTTCTTCTTTTTTTTTACTGAAACACTTAATATTCTGGATTTACAAAAATGGAAAGAATTTCTACATTTTTCTCTATACAATACCTATATTAAACATTCAAAATTTCTTTAGCTGCAAATGCATGGAAGGAGTTCCAATGGGAAGTTCATATTCGACCCATCTTTGTAAATTTATTTCTATTTTCTAAAGAATTCAAATTCTTAAAGAGCCTCACTGCTAACGATTTCAGTAAATTTGTCATCAATATATAAATAACTTATATATTGATGACATTATTACTTTCAACAGCTATAATCTCATCGAAAATAGCAACATCTACCCAAACTTCCTTAAACTTAATAAAACCAATAAAAACCAAACAGAAATGGTTTAGCTTGAGCTAAGTATTCATAAAAATAAAGAAATTAAACTTTTTGATAAAAGAAAAGATTTTAATTTTTCTACTAGTAAACAAGTTAATGCAAATACTACTATTAACCAAAAAATGTTTGCACTGAAATAGAAACAAAAAAGAAGAAATTCTAATTTTCACCAAAATTTTAAAAGAAAATAAAATTCCCTTTTAAAAAAATCTGGAGTAGTCTACACCCTGTAATACTTTTTAAAAGTATGAATTTTTTATTTGAAAGCTCCAATAGAGAAGGATAAAGAAGGATGTTTTAAAGGGTTTATAGGTTTTTATTTATTTTTTCTCTTAGCTATTATTCTATTATTAAAACAAGGGCCTCCTATATTCAAAGTCGTTATGATAAGCCCATGACCTGAAGACATTTTACTTTCCTCGTAATAACTCCTTTACTTTCTTTTTCAAGCTTCCTTTTGCCTTTTCCGATAATTTAAAATAAAAATAAAATAAAATAAAAAAATCTAAAATTCAACTTTATGGATTTTTTTACTCATCTCTACAAAATTAGTATTAAAAACTTTTTTACCACTTTTTTGAGCACACTTTTTGAGTCTACTAATTTTAAAGACTAATTGATTTTAAATTTAGTTAAAGTTTCACACTGAATGACATTCTTTTCATTTTAAATAGAAAAGAGAGGGGTCAGAATTTATCTAAATTTCATTTTAATTAGGAAAGTATTGTTTTTCGTTTTCAAAATTAAAATTTTACTAGAAGTATGGAAAGTTTTTCTTTTGGTTTCAAAATTCGATCTTTTGTTCCAGTTTTTAGCCTTTTGAGCGATTTACCTTCTCGCCACAGTATTTTAGTTTCGCCAATGATGCCAAAATGGCAAACCTAAACGTCACAACTGCAACGATATTACTCATAGTTTCGAGTGTGTTTTAAATAAAAGTGCTTGAAATTTTTAATTACTTCTTGTGAGCTTTCATTTAAGTAATTTCAATAATAAGGCTCTTTTCACTAAGGTTTTAAAATTTCACTTACGTTTTAAATTCTTTGGATTATGTGCTCCTAGTTTAAAGGTAAAATTTTGATTTGAATTTTTCACTAAAGTATTTTATCATTTCACTTACGTTTTCAATTCTTTGAATAGAATTCTCTTTATTGGAGATTTTAATTTGAATTTACTTTGTTTTCCCTTGCTTTGAGTAGGGGCCAGAATTTTCGGGTGAATTATTATAATTAAAATACACTGAAATGTTTCATCGGCTAATTCTGGGTGCAGAAAAGCAAGGATTTTTGTGAAAGAGAGATTTCAGTTCATTTTAATATTCCTCCTCCTGACGAAGTGGCATTGAGGTTGATTGAGTTCCTCTTCTATTATGTTCTTTTTCTTTAAATTTCATTGATTTTTTTAATTGGGGTGTTGCTTATTTGAAGAATTTTGGTTTTAACATTTATTGAATTCTTTATTGCATTTATAGGATTGCTTGAAATTTATTACTTATGAATTTCAATGTTAGGCCTGTTCAATGTAATGCTTTTAATAAATTCAACTAGTGCCATTTTCAAGGGTCAAGCTGGTGATTAATAAAATAGATAAATAGCTGCGTTTATTACTTTTAAATCGTTTAGTTTGTTAATCCGTAGCAGGCAGATTAAATTTAGAAGAAACATTAAATATCTTATATTTCGCTAAAAAAGAAGGGGGTTCGTGAAAGTTAAAAATTTTTTATATCGGAAATTTTTCGAATTCTCGATAGTGTTAAATGTTCTCATACATTTTTTACATACGCTATATTATTTCATTTCATTCATTAATTAATACATGGCGATACCATTTGGTGACAACCAAGGAGATTAGACTAGATGGAGTAAACCTGACGTCAGAAAAGTGAAACCAAAGAAATGTCAGCAATTTGATGTAACGACTTACCATGTCCGCCATACAGCCATGGCCATGGCCTTTTCATGGACGCCATAAGACTAGGAAACATATCGTTAAATAAAATGGCACTGACTTTGAAAGAAAGTATCAAAGTCTGCAGACTCAGAAAAGTATGTTTAAGTATAATTTGTATAAAATACCATTTAAGCTTTCTCTGATCTTTCAGGTTTTACCATGTACACATTTATGTTATAGTTACCATGTATACATTTTCATGTATTTAGAATTATTAAATTTGAAACTATTTGCAATCATTGTGATTTTTCTATACACTAGGTAGAAAACCTATTAAGTATTAAAATTAGAACGTGAGACTTGTAACATAAAAGTTCAATGATGAATAACTAATAAGTAGTTAGAATGTAAACACACCAGTTAGCATGTAAACACAACTAACCAGAAGTGTGCTTATAGCAGAGGCCATGATAAGCCGTGACGTCATGACGTTTCATGGTTTCATTTTCATTTGCACGGGGCATACGGAAGAGGCTTACTCCATTCATTCTAACCCCATTGGTGACAGCATCCTTTCATTTGAATTGTCGTATTTTTATATTCATTATATCATTTCTTTAAAAATAATGAATAGAGATAACATCTGGTGGCAACATTCTTTTATTTGAGTTGCTACATTATTTTTAATATTTGCTATATTATTTGTTTGAAATACAACACGGCGATAACTTTTGGTGGTAATATCTGAAACGTGATATAGACAAAGAAGTGAGGTTTGAAACTAATAGTATCCAATGATGTTTAAAAAAGTGATTGTTGACGTGGATCTCCAGTATCATTTTGCAATTTTCTGAGAGCATCTTTAGCATTGTTTGTTTAATACTGAAATTATATCATGTGTGTCGAATTTATTACCTATAAATTATTGTGTTTGAAATATCTATTGAAATAATAGTTTACTTAGATTTAGTATTGAAATAATCTTCTTTCTTCACAACTTACTTTCATTTAACAAATTCTAGAAAAATATAAGAAAATTAAACTGTTTTCCAAATGCTTTTGCAAAATTATATTGAAACATGGGCCACACAAATCAAGAATTTTAACTACTTAGTTTTAATAAAAATATAGATGTATTTTTCAAAAGCGGAATTCTTAAACATGCACCTCACCAGTGGCTGAGTGGTTAAGATTGCCGAATACAGGAGCTTCGACTCGTATTCGACCCAGGGAAAGGTCAGCTGCATGGTTAGTTTCCGTAATTTTCGTCACATGTAATACGAATACAAGCCATTTTTCATTAGAAAGTCCTTCCCGAAGGCATCCTTCCCTTAATCCAGATAGTCCTCGTGTGCTTTTGCCCCATTTGCGTAACCTAGCCTAACCTTAAATTTGCTTTTCAGAAAACGCAAATTTCAAATTTTGCTTTAATTAAAAACTTTTGAATTAAAGCAATTTTTTTCTTTATTATTCTTATAAGATTCGATAAATTATCCTCTCACCTTACTAATTTACTTATTAATATGCTATAAAGGGCTTATTTTCCTTCGTTTCCAAACTTTAAAAAATATAATTAATTATTTAATTAATCAAGATTTTGAAGGCTATCTCTGCACAGCATTTTATAGAAAAATATGAGCACATTTTTTTTCTTACTCATTGAAAATTATGTTCGCATCGAGGCTTAAAAGTTATAAAAAAGGAGATCCCCATCATTAACAATAGTAGCACAAATAAAATGTTCCATGCAATATTTTTTTCTCTTTTTGTTTTCGCTTTTTCTCTTTTACTTTTTTCTTTTTATTCTTTCAAGAAAAAGGTAATTGGACCATATACACCTTTCTTTATAATCTCAAAG